ATAAGGACATGCGTTTACCTTCCGCTCTGTCTTGCTCGACCACTAAGAACCTGTGAATCTAACATTCCGAGAATGATACAGAGAGAGAATATGAGAGCAATATTAGCGAGCGATAGAGAGAGACGCGTACCCTCTACGAATCTTCGAAACACCTTTCTATGAGAGCTGCTTCCGGTTGTTGTCGAAGACGAAGAAGTGGGAAAGGGAAAAAATAGAGAGAATACGAGGGCAATTAATCACCGTTTTCTGAGAGTGAGGTCGAAAGTCGAAGAAGTGGAGGCAAATTTGGGAGAGGCGCGCGATTCCCAGTGGAGCCGCGGAGGGAGTAGAATATGACGACGCGAGGGGCGATTTCTAATTTGTGTAATTATTAATTAATTACTAATTCTATTAATTTGACTAAATTTGTGTAATTAGCAACAATTATTTTAAGTTTTTCATCTAAAATAATTAATGGCTACGCTTGCATAACATTTGTTGCCCATTCGTCGTCCCATTGAGCCCAATAACCGTTGTCGAAAGTCTTGAGAAATTAGACCTTTGAATCCTCTCTATAAAATAAAGCCATCGGAACACCAAGTCCTCTTTGTACCCAAAAAAAAAAACCCCAAGGGTTTTTTTAGTAAACCTCAGAAAGCTTGCATTACTCATTTGCGATATCATGTTCAACATCCATATAAATGTTGTTAATTAAGTTTTCTAGTCAGAAAAGATGGCTAGAGATCTTAACTTCAGCCTGTGAGTATATTGTACGTAAGCCATGTAGGAGGGCCCACCATTCATTTTGGAGTGGGTTTGATGCAGCAACTGTTTTGCTTCCTCCGAAAATTGCAATATCATCTGCTGAGAGTATTTGAGCTCTTGTCTGTGTCATACAAGATGATGAAATGAAAGAGCCATCAACAAACATTCTATATTTTGTAGATAATATTATGTGTGAATGCAGAAATGATGGATGAGAACTCTGTATGTATGGGCTTGGTTGTAGGAACCAATAATGCATGTGATGTAGCAGTTTTGCTGGACTCATAACATGATTTTTATGCAAAGCTGCATTCCTCGTGTCCCATATAAATCTGAAGAATAAAGAACTTTGCAATGAAGACCTGTTTTTCCTCTTTGTTTACACAATTTAACTTAGTTTCTATCCATTCAAGAGTGAAGTAATAAAGTTCCTTGCTCTGCATTTTCTCTGGGTTTATAACCAACGGAGCAGATAACCATACCGTCCTAGCATAGGAACAATCAAAAAAGAGATGCTGCCAAGTCTCTGTGGTTGTTTGGCACAAAGGACATTTCTTCTCCTCTTCATTTAAAAAGTGCCATTTATCATTTGTTTTGATTCCATTCCACCATGCCTTCCACATAAAGATTTGGAATCACATAGGAATTTTGCATTTCCGTATGAGGTCTCAATTCCAATGCTGTCCAGAAGAGGATGCTTGAGTTGACATGAGAAATCCGTAGCCAGTTTTTACATCATACTCTCCAGATTTGGATTTTTTTCAGATGAGCCTATCTGTTGAGAGATGATGCGAGATCACAGTTTGTATGATAGGCCAGCAATTCTCTTGCTTGAAGAAGAGTTCAATTTTTTGTTGATCCCATGCACCGGAGGTGGAGATGAATTCATTCACTATTATCCCCATCGTATGTGTTTGAGCTTCAGATTTAATTCCCGGAACTCCATTTGGTAATACTGGCACCCATGGGTCAAAAATATGAACCGAAGTACCATTCTTTATTTGCCAAATGGGCACCCATGAGCTTCAGATGTATTACTTCCTCCCATAGGCTCTTCTTTCCCGAAAACAATCTCCAGATTTGTTTTGAAAACAGGGCTTGATTAAATTCTTTCATCCTCTTGAATCCTAAACCACCCATCTTTTTTGGTTTACAGAGGATTTTCCAGGCTATGGTATGAAATGATTTGTTTTCTAGTGAGCCATCCCACCAGAAATTCCTCTGGGTTTGTTCTAACTTTTCTAAAGTAGAGCTTGGAAGAACTGAGGAACCCATTATGTAATTTGGTACAGCTTGGAGTATTGAATTTACCATGGTTGGTCTTCCTGCTTGTGACATCAGTCTTGCTTTCCATAATCCAAGCCGTGTGTTTATTTTGTCTAGCAGTTCCAATTGATTTACTCTACTTGTACCCCGCATAGAGCAAGTTGGATTCCCAAATATTTCTCCACTTGATTGAGCTTTTTCATGTGGAGGGTTGACAGGAGTATTTTCACTTTTATTCGATGCACCCCTGGACTAAAATAAACTCCCGATTTCGCTTTATTAATTCATTGGTAGGAAAGAAAGTAGGAAATTTGGTATGGTGGGATGTGGGAAGTGAAGGTGTGCTCTGTGGGGAGCCAATTAAGGTGTTTATCAATTCAAAATGTTTTTCAAATATTTAAAATGAAGAGAATCTCTTTTATATTGATCAACCTAAGAATTAAGGCTTAGCTCGGAAAGAGTACAAATACAAATATGTAAAGTATAAATACATACAAAATAATACTAAATTTAAGATTTTTGCACTCTACATATTTGTATTTATACTCCTTCCAAACTGAGCCTAAAATACAATGGCAATGCAACACTGCCAAACACCTCCTCGATAGAATGATCAATGATGATTCAATGAAAGCATTTTTAGCCAATGCTATAATTAGATCAGATTTAGAGCTGTAAAACAGGTTGTGATGTCGTATCATGCTAGCTTGCGAGTTGTCTCAAGCCATACCTCCCTCTTCTAGGATATTTTGGGGGGTTGGCCCACAGCCTAAGCCCGTGTGGTCCCGTGTCATGTCGTGTCGTGCCATGGGCCAGGTTGGTCTGTAGGCCAAGCCTTAGGCTAGGCTGGGTTGTGGACCGGGCCAAAGCTATTTATTTAAAAATAATTGAAAAAAGATCTTAAATTTTTTATTTTATATGAATTTTGATGTATACAATTGTTTATATACACAATAATTAAATAAAATAGTATAATAAAATTGAAAGAAATTGTTTATTTTATTAATATATTATATACTATATATTATTATATAATTATAATTTATATAATATTATATATATAAACATATTATATATTTATTTTATTATAATATATATATAAGTCGCGTTCGGCTGTGTTGGGTCGGGCCGCGCGCTGGGCCATGCTGGCACAGCCTGCTCGGTCGTGTCGTGCCGGTCTGACCCAATTAATTGTATGGACCTAAAACCCCAAGCTGGGTATGGCCCATACAATTGTGTCGAGCCATGAACCATCATGCTGGGCCGCAAGTGGCATGGCCCGATTTACACCTTCAAGATGTATCGACCACCTCCTTTTAAACGATTTAAACATCAGATCCTCTACATTTACCAAAAAAATCAGATCCTCTTTGAGGATCACATACACAACCACTAGGGTGTTCACAGTTTGGTTAATCAAACCGTGGGTCTTTTTTATAAGTCAAACCAGTCTATCAAATTTTTTGAAATCAAAATCAATCAATTAACTAGCTGACTAGTTTATTTCAGTTTTTCTATTTTTCAGTTTTATTTTCTGAATTTACAATATATATATATATATATATATATATATAATTATATAGTATAAATACTATAAATATGTCAATTAAATAAATCAAGATTTGATCACGCGGGCCATTAACATTGAATTTGGATTAGCTGAACGCTTTGACCGTTGAGCGGACTGTGGAACCAATAATCATCAGGTTCCATGTCAGTAATAAAATCATGGGCCCCATGTATTTTATTACTGGTGTGGAACATTATCATTTGGTTCCACAGCCTGCTTTGCTAAACAGTTAAAGCGTTCAGTTAAACCTTGCTCCAATCTCATCAAACATTTGTAGAAGAAAGCAATAAATCATATTAATGTTTTAAAAATGTCATTGACCCAAGTGGCCAAACTCTTTGACCCAAGTAGCGGTTCTATGAAGCAATTTGTATTTCATAGATCAACAATATCATTCTTTTTTAGGTAAGGGTGGATTCAAGCTGAGCCGAGTCAAATGGTACAAGGCTTGAGCTCGGCTTGCCAAGGTAGTACAAGCTCGAGTTCAATTTGAGCTAGAACCTTGAGCTCGAGCTCGGCTCGAGTAAAAAACTCGTAAGCTCAAGCTTGGCTCGGCTCGAGCTCGACTTGAGAAAAAATGTTTTATAAAAATAATATATATATATATATATATTTATTGGATAATTAAAATTAAGAATTATAATAATTAACTATTATTATATAAAAAATAAAAACATTATATATAATATTTTCTATAATTTTATATTTTATTTATTATTATTATTGTTATTATTATTATTATTATCCCCCCTAACTATGGACTTAGTGACAATTACTCCTAACTAGACCTGTTCACGGGCTGGGCTTTAGACCTAACTTTACACAATGTTGGGCTCGGGCTTCAAGCTGGGCCCATTCAAATTTTGGCAAAAGCTAGGCCTGAGCCTGGCCCATGGATAGGTCTACTCCTAACCTTTCATTTGCCACAAAGACCCCCCCCTACATAGTGACAATTTCACCTTAAATTTCTTTGTTTTCTTTTATCCACCTTTTTTTTTTCTTAAGCTCTATTTGACCCAAAAATACCTCCATTTTCTCTAAATGAAACCAACTAAAATAATAATAATGATAAGAATCATTTCACCAACATAGAAAAACAAGTTTCTTTAAATTCTTGTTCCATTTCAATGACATAAATATCTCTCTTCATCTAAAATATAAAAATTATCCACTCATTTTCTCTAATAAATTATGAAAAAACAAATGTAACCTTAGATTTATATCTATCAAAAAGAGAAATCTCTACCATTTCATTTGAATATTGAATCAAGCCAGAAATTTACAATTATCTATTAGAGCAATTGAGAGGACTTCAATATTATATTTAGAAAGCTAATCAAAATCATAAGCCATTCAAATAAATAGAAAAAAAAAGGTAGTTTGAAGATTTTTAAAAATTTTTAATAGCTAAATAAGAATCCTTGTTCAAAGATAATTGATTGAACTCTGACGGACAAAGGTATTTGTCACAAAGTGAAAGTTTATGAGGTAATTTTTCATTAAAAAAAGGTTTAAGGGGTAATAATTGTAGAGGGGATCCTTGTTGCAAATGAAAGTACAAAGGGTTATATTTCTAATATTTTTTTTGGTAAATACAAAATCTGAAAACAAAACATTGAAATTGTAACACTTTTGAATACATCAGTCTACTGTCCCCTGGACGTCCCTCTCTCTCTCGGCTTCCGTCAGGGCAACAACCGTTCGAGCAGCCTTTACAGCCTTGCATTGGGAATATCTCCCTACTCATATGATTTATTTCATGGGAAGATATTCCTGATGCAAGGTTGCAAGAGGCTGTTTGGATGGTGTGAGCATGGGTTTGCCCTGACCGAAGCCGATCTCCGATCTCTCTCTCTCAATCCTATCCCCTTATATATTTGAGTCATATTAGCTTTTTTTTAGGACATTCATACAAGTGATACAAGACTTGAGAAAAACTCTGCATTTGCATATATTAAAATTCACATTGGTTTCCACTTGATAATATTTCTAAGTATTTTATGTTTTTATTGTTTTACTCGTGATATCACGGGCCAACCCATTCAACCTCTACGGTTAAATTGCTGACCCGGAAAATGATGGCAAAATGGATTCCATTTCATGATCTGTTAACATTGACAAATGTGAGAAATGTGAGAACACAGAACGAATCTGAGAGCAGTCGATTTGTTGGGAAAAAAAGGCCAATGGTCAGGTCTATATTCAGGAGTCCAGAACTAGTAGTTAGCACACTAAGCAACAATCAATGTGCAACCATCACATTGCAAGTGTGCCTTACTGCCCACACTGTATTTGCATGAGCTCTGGACCATTACTTGGTTGTATAAAAGCTACATCCCCAGTTAAAACTGTAATTTCTGTATATAACCAGTCTAAAAGCTACGAAATAGACACTATCACCAGTGGAAAATCATGACCCTATGATTTATTGTTGTATATAACCAATTAAAAACAGAAACATGTTACAGACTGTTGTATTGGAATTTGGAGGAAAACTTTTTATTGGGTGCCTCTGAGAGACAGTAAACCAGTCATGCAATTAATACTTCATTTTAGACAGTCAAAAGAAACCTTCTGTGACTACATTTCCTACTAGACGCCTGCCATCCAGGTCTAAAATGCTCATGGAGACTTCCTGTAGATCATGCAAAAGGTATTTGGAAGTATGTTATCAAGCTTACTAGTTAATTACAACTGGTTACTTTCCTATAGTTCAAATGACATCCTCATCAGCCATATGTACATAAATAAAATACTGTGAGCAGTAGCCATACAGGAAGACCCAAAAACCAGTGGCATGTGCCCAATTGAGGCACCTGTTTGTTTTACATCTGTTACTTGAACTAACATTAGCCATTCTCTGCATGCTTCCTTGCACAATATGTAGATTGTTGCAGTGTGAGTAACATCCATTGCCAACATTTGTGGCAGAGAACCAAATAAGCCTTCTTACACTCACATTAGCCTCTTCACCTACATACCAAGAAAAACTAGCACACCCCTCTTCTTTCAGCATGTTCTTATGAGCTTAGGTGTCCACATCTGCCAAGCTGACCATCCACGTTCTCCTACTCTTGAGTCCACAACCCTTCTCTTCAAGTTGGACCCTTCCATTTTCTGTTCTTCAGAAGTATCTCCAGGAGCCAACATCTTCATGGACGATTCTGGACCCATCTCTGTTGACTCCACAAGTTTTTTCACAATCTCCAACACCTCACTCATCTTGGGACGTGCCTTTGGCTGCCGCACCAAGCACCGATTAGCTACAGCTGCAAGCCTCTGGGCAGACTTCAGAGAATAATTTCCTTCAAGTCTTGGGTCCAAAATCAGTTTAAATTTCTTCATGTCTGACAGGTGTGGCCTCACCCATTCCAAGAGTTTCTGTTCACTCTTGGGACGGTTTCTGTCAAGTGGTTTCCTACCTGTTATGAGCTCATACAGGAAGACCCCATAGCTCCAGACATCACTCTTGGCTGTCAGGCGGCCAGTTTGGATGTATTCAGGAGCCGCATATCCAATGGTTCCCACTACCTGTTTTCAGATAAAACAGGAGAACATCAGGATTCTCTCAGATCACAGTATTTAAATTTTAAAATCCCAATCATTCCAATTCAAATCTTATGTATGAATCTTTTCTGGAAAATAGTTTTTTTTTTCCTGGGGTTAGGCAAATGGGCTACACAATAGGGGGTAGCCTTCTCCCAACCTCCATCCCACCCCAAACCCTGGGTGGAGGCACCATTCAATAGTACAGTCAACCAGAGACCCTACCAGTAAGCTATCTGACACCTTCAATTTATTTAGGTTATTTAAAACCAATTTAGAACCCTATTGAGTTTACTTTCCATTTAAATTTTAAAGTTGGTTAAAAATCCACTATATGTGGTTTAGTTGACTTTTTAGTCAAACTTGATAGTATTACCTTATGCTGTGTAGTGGTAAATTATATTGTATTGAGTACATATATGATAGATATTTATTTGAAGAAAATACATTCCTAATTTTTGGAGACATACCGCTGTTGAGATGTGAGTTAATCCTTCTGAAGGACCCTGCCTGGCCAAACCAAAGTCTGAAAGCTTTGCATTCCATTGTTCATCCAAGAGAATATTTGAGGATTTAAAATCCCTGAAGATGATCTGTTTCAAGTAATAAAGAAGATGTCATTATTATTTTATTATATATGAAGCACCCACCAAGATAATCTTTAGCACAGTAACTGGAGTATTAGGCTGCATGTCATGTGATCAGAAACTACTCCAAAGCATCACTTTTCTGTAGAAACAACCATGTTCAATGCAAACTGTTAGTGGTGTTAGTGAAGGGGTATTTCAGTCTTTGTACTTGTTGAG